TGATCGCAGAGTGATAGCGAGTCACAAAATAAGGGTTTAAATGTCGTATTCCAGTAAATCAAATCTTACAAATAAATAGATATGTAACTAATAAAAATTCGTCGTTTGGCTAATATTTAATTAATAGATTGACAAACAAGAGTAAAATACATAACTAAAAAACTGACAAGGTAGTCAAGGCAGTGATGCACAAGCCATCTAGAAAGTAGGGTAGAGCTAAAATTTCTAGGGCAAACTTCTTCTTGTCAAGACTTCCAGTAGGTCAGATATATGGGATGCTTTTAGTTTAAAGTGATGAAGGATTAGTAGTCTAATTTGGCTATGATGACATGAGTAGGCCTCAGGCTACCATTTAATTAACATAGTCTTGCTTCTAAAGAGACATATTTACCTAACTCAGACTGCAGTTTCAACCTCGCCTAAGCCTCGTCAGCAGCCCCAGTTGGGTTCAGCCCCGGGTAGTTTACCCCAACGCCATAGTCGCCATTGCCCTTTGATTACAGAGTGGATGTGAATTTCAGGAAAGGCCAGGCCTTCTCCATTAGCCCAACTACCCAGATTCGAGCCCAGCTTGTGGTGCTGATAAAACCTAAGCAAGGCCAAAACTGCAGTTAATCATGAATGATAGTAGCTTTTGGGAAGGAAAGCTATGTGAAATTAAATATAGCTATAAGAATCAATCATATCATTATAGGAAAATTCAATATGCTGAATACATCTTATAAAACCAATTTTTTCCATTATTCAATCATCTAAGTTCCAGCATAAATGAGCGTAATAAACTTAAAAAGCTAGTGACCTTACCAGAGACGCAAAAATTGTCTAAGAACCGGATGCACCATCATAACCCATGGCACAAGGATGGAGACGAAGCTATCTGTGGTGTCTGAGTTATTTACAGTGGATTCCGTATTTTCTGATGAAAGAGAGAAGCTTGCCCTCCAAGTAGGCATAGCACTTCGAGAGGGCGACACAGGTTCAGTTCGAAATGGTACTGAAAATTCTGAGGAGCTAGGCGACTGTAATTGACGGTTGCTGCTGATTGCGGTAGCTGTACCTGCTGTTGCCACACTATGCCCAGGTTGCTGTCGATGTTTGAGTGGGGGAGTAGCTTCCGAACTCAAGGTTGGTAGGTCGGGCGATGGCAGTACTGTGGTGTTGATGAATGGCAGAAGGTCGGCTACATCGGAATTGGTGCCGGAGGGACGAAATTCGGGAGTTGCTTCGAGCCATAAACGACATATACCATCCACTGAGGTAGTGAGCAGAATATTGGGCAGCCATCCTCTGAAGCAAGAGGAAAATAAAATAAAAAATTGAGTAATTTGAAAATAAGAATGGAGGAATAGCTGAAGCTTGGTGAATGAATAATCAAAGATAGCAAGCCCCAAAAGTTAGAAATTCCCTACTGATTAGAACCGGATAGAACATCGTACACATGTAGATGTCAGAAAGTTTCGGTACTCTTTAGTAAAACATTTTCCATGTGCGAAACAAAAGGGTATTTCCCCATAATCTCAACTTAGAAGTGATTAACTGAAACGAAGAAAATTCTTTTCACGCATTGGTGTAACTTGAAAACAAAATCTAAAGTTAGCCATCGTACCACTGTAGAAATCAATCCAATATAAAATATTATGTTTAAAAAATAGTGCTACATAAGTGAATATAGTATTTTTTAAAAATTAATTACTTACGCTGGAAGGAATCGGCATGTTTGTCTCCAAGAGAAAGAAAGAGTCCTATGTGAATGAGGGAGAATTGTATTGCGCCAGTGCTCAGCAGATTC